TTTTTCCCCGTTTATTCCGGACATTACGGTTTTCATGTTTTACGGCGTTCTCTCCGCTTTTAAGCATGTTTTATAATAAGTTATTCACATCCTGTCATATCATTCTATATTTAGAATCAAGTATGCAAGAATTAACAATTTATAATCATCGTTGAACAGCCAACCGAATTTTCAGTTTACGGCTATCAATGTTCCTTGTTAATTTGCGCCTAATCCAGAAGACAGGGGAACTCCTGGATCAAGTACTGGAGAAATGTTGCCTTCGAGGTCTTTTCTTGATGGAACTAACCCGCATTTATGTTAAATGGAGAGGAAAACCACGATAACCTCTCAAGGTTAACCTGACGGAAGGATATTCTAACCCATGATCCGTCTAGCACTGGGGATACGGAATTCGTATCGACCAGCCATCGCAGGGATTGGAACTCGATTCACCTCATAGGAAGGTGAACTCTCTATCCCTTGAGCGATCGCAGCTCAGAATTACAAATTTAAGTTTTTCCTTTTACTAAGTGTGAAAATCATATTGTTTAATGGACCCATTGTAATTACTAATGTTTCCCTTTTTCCATGAGGAGCGTAACACATCATAGGGACAAACTTTTGTTACTTTCCTAAAGGTAAAATCTCAAGCACACCCATTTCGGAGTGCGTTTTGAAGCTCTGCCAATCTTGAAAAAATGATGAAATAAAAAGTGATTTCTTTTTTCTGCTTGGCCACTCCGCTATGTCATGCGCAGTTTAGTAAGTAGTGCAGAGATAAAGTAGAGTAGATGAGCAGAACATAATTGTTGATTATGATTTCCAAATGTCGATCTTTTCTTGTTTTATAACAGTTTTTATAAATTCATAGAGAACTCTTCAATTTTGCTTGCGGTTCCCAGCAGATCACCAAAGTAAAGCAACTCTGGCTACGGTCAGTGTGCGGGTGGGTGACCACTTGGAACAGCTTGCGTAGGGACCGAGAGTGCGCGGCATTGGTCCTCGTTAAACTGTTCTACCGTAAAGTGCTCGACTTCGCGTACAGGTCGTCGGGCTACCGAAACAGGGGTGCCATCCCCTCTGCAGAGGATCAAAATTGTGATGGCATATCTTCGGATAATCCTCAGGGATGTTTCTCAGACCGTCGCCAATAGCCCATTGTGCAGCTCTAGTGTGACGTAAATGAACAGCAACAAAAATTTTGCTTGCTTGGCATTTTCTACTACGCCATGAACTGCGTCAGTAGAGAAGGGGGGGCTGGCTTACAAAGAGTTAGAGTGTGTTGGTTCCCTGTAGTTATAATTTTTTTATTTGCATTGTGTCATGCAAGATACTTTCTTTATTTTTTGCACATAAAATATATTTGAAAATTTAATTCTCATCACAAATAGGAACTTTAGAATCCCTCAGTGAAAGACCCATATGGAAAATCTGAGAGTAGTAGCATTTTATTTATGTTCTAATATGAGCTTATAGCGTGTCTACCACTATCATTCCAATTCACTAGAAATGTTAGCTTGATTCTATGTTAGGGGTACCTTTTCATAGATGAAGGTTGACATTGGCAATAACACTCGCCCCACATTGGTGACCTGAGGAACACACCGGCTGCGTCAAACACGCCCACTTCGATTCGAATACGCCTGTTTCGATAGATGATCCTGATTGAACAGTTGACTTGATATTTGTGACTGCGACATTGCCCTCATTACGCTGTGGCTACTTAATCTCGTTCACACACAACATTGACCAGCATACACTCTAGTGCTAATGACAACGCAGGAGCGATCATGGCTGTGAACTTAATACAGCACTCTAAGCCCGATGATCTTCATACTGCTCTCCCATCTTCTAAGGAAATAGCAATGAATTAACTACTGCTATCCGTTCATCGAATTTTATCACAGATAAAATTCTGGTGGGGGAGTACTGTAGCGTGTCTACCACTACACTTCCAAATGACTAGGATGCAAGACATGTTAACTTGATTCTTTGTTAGAGGTACATTTACATAGATGACATTGGCGATAACACTCGCCTCACAGGATCTCGAAAGACTGTATGAATAAGGATGATCCGAAGACATGCCATCACAATTTTGATCCTCTGCGGAGGGGATGGCTTTCACGCTTTCGTAACCCCATGACCTGCGCACGAAGTGGAAATACTTTTCGGTAGAACAATTTAACGAGAACCACCACGCATCCTCGGTCCCTTCGCACCTAGTGAAAATTCGCCCGCTTATTGATAGTTGTTGTAGTTCATTTACGTCGTACTAGAGTTGCACAATTGGCTATTGGCGACGGTCTGGGAAACATCCCTGAGGATGATCCGAAGACATGCCATCACAATTTTGATCCTCTGCAGAGGGGATGGCACCCCTGTTTCGGTAGCCCGACGACCTGCACGCGAACTTGAGCACTTTACGGTAGAACAGTTTAACGAGGACCAATACCGCACACCCTCAGTCCCTACACAGATTGATCCAAGTGGTCACCCACCAGCACACTGATCGCAGCCAGTGATGCTTGACTTCGGTGATCTGCTGGGAACCGTGTCTTAACTGCGGGACTCTTTTGAATAATAAAAACTATATTGTGTGAAATTGTTAAAACATATACAATCGTTGTTGTTGTTTTTCATTTACGTCGCACTAGAGCTGCACAATGGGCTATTGGCGACGGTCTGGGAAATATCCCTGAGAATGATCCGAAGACAGGCCATCACAATTTTGATCCTTTGCAGAGGGGAGGGCACCCCCGCTTCGGTAGCGCAACGACCTGCACACGAAGTCGAGCACTTTACAATCGTCTTAGCCTATCTATACTCATTTGATGATTTTTGTATCATAAATTGAAACTATTTAAATGTTGAGTTGCAAGTTTGTCGCCGGAAAAAGAAAGGTGGAAATCTGTGAAAACTCGAATATAATAAAATAAATAAATTTTAAAAAAAAACCAGTACAACGTATGCACTGAAAGACACAGGATACAAATAATAAAATTAAAAATCATATAAAATAATTTAAATTAATGTCAAAATCGAAAAATTAAAAATTCTTCTAATTTTAAGCTAACACTATTGTTTTTATTCATCTGAACATAATTTCGTAAAACTTTTCTTTACCTTGTTGAATTAATATCGTTAAATTATTCTCGTATATGTTTTGCCGTTCATTGCTTAATTCATTTTTATACAATCAGTCAGGGATAACACAATTTCTTGGCGGCGCTGAGAACATTGAATATCTGCTTTGGTAAGGCTTTTTGGTTGCTATGGTTTTACTTTCTAAGAATATTTTATCAATTATACATGAACAGTTTTGACGCTCTTGAAAAGTACTACTTGCCATTTAAATGTAAGCATTAAATTAAAAAAAAAAGAAAAAAAACCCAATTTCATACAATTTTCGTAAAAATACTAGAATTTAAAAATTCGCGAATTTTAGAATTATTATTTTTCAATTTGCTCAAAAAGTTTACGAGATAAGGCGAAATACGCAAAAAGTAAAATTAACATTAAAGGATCCAAATTTTAGATCTCTCTCTCCTGACCTAAATACTATGTCCCCTTATTTTGCGGATAAGGAATCCAAACCTGTCACAAAAAGGTTATGTTTACTTAGAGAAAGTACGGTTTTGTGTCTGATTTTGTTAAATATTGTCAGCAGTAATTACCATAGTTAAGGTCATCCCTTTAAACAATTGAGTCCTACTATGTACAGACCCGATCACTAGATGAAAAGTTATTTTCAAGGTGTTCCTTCTTTTTTTTGCTTTGATGTCATCATAAGCTATGTTAAACATAATAATTTTGGAAGCTTTTTTTTTTCCTAACGTGGAACTAAGTTTCATAGGAGCATCCTATTATATGCTCCAATTGAACAGTTGGTAAAGGCATTGCTCACTCCACTAGTGGAAAGCTGGGGACTGCAGTCCTGGTAACAGCTACACAACCAGCAAGAATTTATGCAGCAAGATGCACATTAAATCTGTCGTGACAAGTTCTTCCGTCGGTTGTGGAAGTTTGGGGAGAAGAGTATTTATTATCTCAGGTGCCATCTAGGTATTCTGACCACGGTCAAAATTAAATGGCAACCTGGGGACTGCATACCTGTTGAATTATTAAGCTATTTAAAATGAGGTAGTATGCTTGGTTATATTAAGTGATGTGTTTGTTTATTTAACCCTTTAATGGGCCATTTATTTCTAGTAAGGTTACATTAAAATAATTTTTGAATTCAGATGACAAAAATACATTTATATTAGTTGAAAAAATCAATTTTGAATTTTAACAATATTTTTTGTGGTAACTATGTTAACTACTACCCAACAGGTGTTATAAAAACAAACTTAATGACTTTCATTTGTAAAATAAATTTTATAATCACTCCAAACTGAAAAAGGAATTATATATTATAACTTATTTTAAATTCCCTAAAAACAGGCATATTGTAACCAATTTTATTCAATGTTACTTCATCAGAGCCCAAGTTAATAACAAATGGTATACCAAAGTTATTCCCTTTTTCCATGAGGAGCGTAACACATCATAGGGACAAACTTTTGTTACTTTCCTAAAGGTAAAATCTCAAGCACACCCATTTCGGAGTGCGTTTTGAAGCTCTGCCAATCTTGAAAAAATGGTGAAATAAAGAGTGATTTCTTTTTCCTGCTTGGCCACTCCGCTATGTCATGCGTAGTTTAGTAAGTAGTGCAGAAATAAAGTAGAGTAGATGCGCAGAGTATAATTGTTGATTATGATTTCCAAATGTTACGTGTCGATCTCATATTTTCTTTTCTTGTTTCATAACAGTTTTTATAAATTCAAAGAGGACTCTTTAATTTTGCTTGCGCTTCCCAGCAGATCACCGAAGTCAAGCATCACTGGCTGCGGTCAGTGTGCGGGTGGGTGACCACTTGGATCAGCCTGCGTAGGGACCGAGGGTGTGCGGTATGGGTCCTCGTTAAACTGTTCTACGGTAAAGTGCTCGACTTCGTGCGCTGGTCGTNTAGAGTCTCCATCTCGTTTCAGAGGCGCACTTTTCCAAAAATTCCGGAACAGTTTCTGGAAGGATCAAAAGACATGAGGTTTTCGTCATTATTGGGAACGGGTGGTGGGCTTTCTAAATTGTGCAATCTACGATAGGCTTCCCATCTGGCATCGTCAGACTGATGAGTCAGATAGCGTGATCCGACGTCAGATTCGAGTCGACGTAGGTCACACCATGTTTGATAGTCCTGGAGAAAAAAAATTATAAAATACATTTGAAGTTGAAAAAAATAATAAAAATTTGTACTTACAAAAGACAGCTATTTACCTGCAACCATGTGTGACAGAGTGACTTGTCTACGGTATATCTCTTCCTGGTTTTAACTTGTAGAAGATTACTGATCAAATCAATGGCTAAAAAGAAAGCTTTAAATGTAATTTTTGCAATTCAAAATAAGTTGACTGAGTTAAAAAGGGGCAAGCAAAAGAACTGTTAATTTTAAATCTTTGGAAGATTCGGTAATATTGAAAAGATGACTAAATAGAGTACAACATTCAATTCATCATTATTATTTTTTTCTCTGGTAATTAGGATCTGAATCTATTGCATATTGCTAGACTACATACACAATTAGAAAAAAATGTCTTCAGTTTATGAAATTTTTTTAATTATTTTCTGTATTCAGGGGTAATTGTTACACGAATGGAAAAACCCCAAAAATTTGACGTGCAGTAAATCGATTGCTAGACTACATACACAATTAGATCAGTTTATGAAATTTTTTTAATTATTTTCTGTATTCAGGGGTAATTGTTACACGAATGGAAAACCCCCAAAAATTTGATGTGCAAAAAATCGATATCAATTTATACACCATGCATGTTTCATATTTAACATAATTTTTTAAACTATCATTTATAATTAAATTACTTACTAATGAAAAATATCACACCTTTATAGTAACTAGCTCAAGAAAAAACTTTCTTACAGGAACCGCGATACTAAATTTTAAAAACATGGAAATACAAAATGCAATAGTGAATTTTTATATCACGTATATACGAATCGCACACAATGCATAGTTTTTAAATCACGTATAAATATGAAAATCGATCTTTGACATGACAAACGCGTGAATACGAATCGTGACATTGGATTTTTAACTCACATGAATGTGAATCGCGATATTGGGTTTCTAAATCACGTGTAAAAGGAATCACGATGCACGATTTTTAAATCGTGAAAATTCGAATCGCGAGGCATGACTTTTAAATTAGGTAAATACAAAAAATCGATGTTTGATATTAAAATCGCGATATTTGCAGTTCCAAATATTCAAAATGACGAAACTCCGCCAAACCAAAAGAATCAAATTTGCGGGAAGAATCACATGTATTCATCTCGTTAACGGGATTTAACAGAGCATTTCGCTGGATTATAAGATTTTGATCCGTGAACCGGTGGTCTTGAAACACGTGGAATCCTGCGATATTCGCGGAAAGCTCACATTCCTTGCTTCTAGTTTTTAGAGTCTACAATACGAAAAACCAGGAATTCAGGGGTACGCCCAAAATACAATCACCCACACTTTCTTAAACATTTCATCTCTTTCTCCCAACCAAAGGCACCAAATAGGAAAGGAAGCAAAATAGAAATCTACAATATTAATGGGGTTAATTGGGTTAATTAAACAGGTTTCTATTTATTGTCTTATTCCCTTCTGTAAAATCAAAGATTTAGGTTAACTCTAAATAATAAAAAAAAAGTTAACTATATACCTTTGCCTAGAAATGTTCAATGATTCACTGTTTATCATTTTAGCCACTGGATGGCACTGTTTAATTATGTAATGTATAACTTTTTATACTTCACAACTCATCTATCCCCCATCTGCTTAAAACAGTAGCTTACTCACTTATATTACTAATTATGCTTAATAAACTCATATTTTAATACGGCAATCTGAACTTTCTACTCAATTAATAATGCCTCAATTTATTGAGTGAGTAACACTAGGTATTTTAGCACTATTGAAGAATATAATGTGAAAACAACATGCACAAGGCAAAGGTAAGCAATATTTATTTCTGCTACCTTTTGTTCACATGAGTGTGTGATTACCAACAAATGTGAGGTATGCATAGTGATAACTAAAGTTAAGCTTTAATATTTGACAAGTGTTTTCTTGATAGAATTAAAACACAGTATAAATAATTTTAACATATGTAAAGCCTGATAATAATGTGATAATAATTTTAAGTGCTAAGAAAATGTAGCTTTTTTTTTTTTTTTTTTTTTTTTTTTTATTTATGCCTTTATTTTACAACTACTGAAAAATTTATTTTAGAGCATAATGTAGTAATTTTATTTAACTTAGCCATGAATATTAAAATGTCACATTAATTTTTACCTTCAGTAGAAATGTCTTTCCATGGATTGGGTGGATACATGAAGGCTGCATTTTGGATTTGGTCATTAATATCCTCTTCTTCATTAAATGGGAAAGTTCCACTGAGACTGAAAATATTTGAAAACATCAATAAAAGACTTTCAATTTGATTCCAAACAATATATAACATATTTGTGACTTGATTGCTCAAGAGAATCTACTCACAGTTTTCAGATATCATTATCCAGTTTAACAGATTTGTATACTGGATACTGTAACTGGGTTTACATACTGGATAACATGTCCAGTAAAACAATATATAACAGATTTATGACTTGATTGTTAAAGAGAATCTACTCAGTTTTCTGATATCATTATCCAGTATAACAGATTTGTATACTGGATAACAGTATCTGGATACTGTAACTGGATTTGTGTATTGGATAACATGTCCAGTATAACAATATATAACATATTTGTGAGTTGATTGTAAAGAGAATTGACTCACAGTTTTCAGATATCCAGAATAACAGATTTGTATACTGGATAACAGTATTTGGATACTGTAATTGGATTTGTATACTGAATAACATATACAGTATAATGTTACATAAGAGATTTGTGATTCGATTGTAAAGAGAATCTACTCACAGTTTTCAGATCTCATTATCCAGTTGCACATTTACATAAATAGGCACAAATATATTTTACACAGATTAATCTGTAATGACAACTCCCCCCCCCCCCCTTAAAATATATTTTTAGAACCCTTACAAAAATTAAATTAAAATAAACACTACTTAGATAAGGTGTAGCAAATCAATATTTAATAAAGAAAAAAAAAGTTTTCAATTCTGACCAATGGCTATTTTTTTCAAGAATAAACAGATTAAAAAAATTAATACAGACAAATCCCATCAAAATGAATCTGGGTCATAGTAAACGCTCGGTTGCAGTGAACTTTTTTAGTATTCCCTTCAGAATTCCAATTTGACTAGCAATATTTTATATGCCTATAGAGGACTCTCATTTTATTTCCTCCTTTTTTTTCATTTCTCCTATTTCAGATTTACAGGACTTGAGACTGCAGATGACAGCACACTGGGTCAGTTTTCACTCTTTGCTTTTAAACTAGGACAAGCAAAGTTGTTAAGCCCCCCTTATGTTGAAGGAAAAATTTAGAACTAGAAAATACTGGATACTATATAATTGTTAATGTAAAAATTGGTGAACTTAAAAATCGAAAATCATGAATTTTTTTCTATAGAATAGAATTTTTTTTTTCTCTTTTTAGTATTTAATTCAGTATCTAATGTGCCAGATAATAATTTATAAAAAAAAATTATGTACTGTTGTAATCAATATTTGAAATTAACTTGAATCGCTATTTATAAAAAGAACTGTTCAAAAATTTGGTTTCAAGGAACCATTTTTTACAGCGAATTTGCTGGCTATACAGGCAACTCATTAATAACAAGGTTTGACAATAAATAACAAAAATTTTAGTTAGAGGTACAGCTTTTACAAGAAATAAATCAAAATATCCCTCAGATTTTCTTTTCTTTGTTATATTTATTTACTTAATTTTTTTTTAAAATTTATTTATTTCGATTTGGTATTTCAATTAATTTAATCCTGCACAGTTAGGTCTGTAGTTTCTCAACATCTTTAGTCAAACTTTCTGTTAATGCTACTTATTATATAAGTTTCAAACTCATTAATTTAGATGTATTTAACATGACAAGATGTACATCCACTATATCATTAGTTGGCATATAGTGTAAAACTAATGTGTTCAGAGAAGTTTTGATTCTGAGAAATTAACTAGTTATCGATTGCAGACAAAGTAATCTAAATTTAGTCATTGACATAAAATCAGAAGGTTTGTGAACCAACTCACCTCACATACACAATAACACCTACAGACCACATGTCTAAAGATCTGTTGTAACCTTTATTCTTTAAAACTTCAGGAGCTATAAAATGAAACAAACAAAAAAACAGTTAATGTAAACAAATTGTGGGGATAGTAGTAATCGACAATGTCAACCTTCATCTATGAAAAGGTACCCCACCGTAGAATCGAGTTAACATGTCTTATGTACGAGTGAATAGGAATCATATTTTTGAAGTGATAGACACACTACAGTACTCTCCCACCAGAATTATATCTGTGATAGAATTTGATGAAAGGGATACCATAAGTAGATTCATTGCTGTGTTGTGAGAAGCCGAGAGAGCTGTATTAAGATCACCGTACTTTTTCTTAATGCTGATCGTGAGAGCTGCATTAAGTTCACGGTTGTGGCTGCTCCTGTGTTGCCTTTCGCAGTCGAGTGTATACGTTGTACGTGATCGAGACTGAGAAGCAACAGTGTGAGGAGGACAATATCGCAGTCACACGTAGCAAGTCAACTGTTCAATTTGGACCATCCATCGAAGTAGGCATGCTCAAATTGTAGTGGCCGTTTCTGCCAAGGTAGGTGTATTCACATCAATGTATGGTGAGTAGATAACGACAATGTCAACTTTCATTGATGAAAAGGTACCCCACCATAGAATCGAGTTAACACGTCTCATATACTAGGAAATTGGAACTGAATTTTTGTAGTGGTAGATACACTACACAAATATTATAAATAAATTAAAAGAGATAATAAAATTTCATAATAGTGTACCTAAATATTAGTTGCTAATAAACAATGTGATTCTAACAATATATTGCAATTACAATTAGTGGATGATTAGATGACGATAATTTATAAAAAGTTTATAAATGGGTAGTGAGTCATGATGTTGCAATGGTTAAACCTTTTCCTCTAGCTCAGTGATTCTCAACCACTGTGCCGTGGCATTTTTGTGAGCTGCCAAATGTTAGAAATGTATATAGTAAAAATTATAATGCTTTTTTTATTACGAGTAAAGTTTAAATTAAAGAAAAGTACTTATATATATATATATATATATGAAAATTGTAATGGATAATTCATTATTTCCCAAATTTAGATATAAAAAAATTTGATTGGGTTCGTAATCCATTTGTGATAACGAATACTTCTGTATTTGAAGCAACTTTGAATGAAGAGGAAGAACTAATTTCGCTTTCTAACAATCGAGGTTTAATTTTAAAATATTAGGAAGAATCAATTAATTCATATTGAATTAGTATTAGATGTGATTATCCCATGATAGTCAAAAAAGCTTTAAAAATATTATAACAATTTCCTATATCCTATTTGTGTGAATTCGGATTTTCAGTATTAACCAACATAAAAACAAAAATAAAGATGAAGACTGTTAAATGTAGAAGACGATATGAGAGTAGCATTGTCCTTTTTACGACTAAGTACAAATGAAATTATCAAAAAACATCAAGCTTCAATTTCTTATTAAAAGTATTCGTATTATTTATTTGTAATTAATCCCTTAATAAATATTGCTTTTGTGGTACATATAATATCATTTTGTTTTACATTCCAAATTATCATCATAAAATATTTTACACAGTGCACTTATTACAGGTAAATAACAACTTTTAAACTTATCTTTTTCTTTGTGTGCCGCCAAATTTAGAAATCGTTAAAAGTCTGAGTGACAAAAAAAAGGTTGAGAATCACTGCTCTAGCCAAAACTACACGGTGAGCTTCCGTTGCCTATTTCTCGTGCCTGTGATATTTCTAGGCCAGAGCATTAAAAAGTAATACTCTGGCACCAAAAAGGTTTAAATATATAAATCTCATGTGCACAGAAATATTTTTATTTAATATTTTGCACACTAGATGGCTGTACCAGACTATTTTTAATGTAATTGGAGATAAATTTTAAACTTGCATCTCATGCTTTGAAATTTATTGTACAAGAAATAATTATTAATATTTATTAACATTATGTGTAAGTTTAATAAAATTATTTTCTAATGCTTAAAACATGTATTTTTTAAAAATTTTCCTTGCTAACTGCAAAATCAACATTCAATCTCAATAACCCTTATTATTGGATACACCTAAAAAAGTTAAATTTTTTAAATTTCAAGGTAAAAAAAATTTCAAAAATCAAAAATAAATGCTTACATTGTACATGCACCATTTTTATTACAAAATTAGGCACTTTTATGACCGTTTTCTTAAAAATAATTAGATTGATAATGAGTTAATGCACTGAACTGTTTTTGTTTCTTCCCTTGGCAACAGTTTGAAGACCACCCTACTTCCATTCCATGGGTACCATATTGCCTGAGTAATTAAGACCGTCAATGTGCAATGCTAATCTTATCTTTAGTATCAAAATTATTGCAATTAGTTCCACGACTCTCCTATTGCAAGTGGGATAAACTTTTTTACTCTATACTTTTACTATACAATACTTTTACTAATACTAGACTTTTTTGTTGGGTAATAACAGTATTTAAAAATTTTTGTAGGCGCGCAATAGACAATATAAAACTAAATTAAATAAATCTCTAAATTCAAATTTAATTAATTGTCAAATTTAAGATGCACAGGAATGCAACATTTTACAGATTAAGCAAGACAATTTCAGAAATATTAACCAAATATTCAAATACAGGCACAATTGCTGATTTTTTTTTTCAATATTTAGCAATAGGAAGAATTTGGCGACAAGATAATTCCAAATAGCATTAAATAGCAAACAATGGCATAATAAAAATTTTACCAAATCAACAATATTTGCTTCTGCAATTTTGAAATAATGAGAAGAATATAATTATAAAACAATATGCAAACAATTATCATTAATAAAAGAAATAAAATTCTAAACAAAACATTTTTCCCTCTAAAAGAAGTTGAATTTAGTTTAATGTGATTCAAATAAGTCAAACATTAATTATAAGAATTTGGGTAGTAATGATAGTTCTATAATGAATGAGAAATATGTAAACTTTTGAATTAATTATATTAGTAACAATGTTTCAATAGATTTAATTATATTGGAATTTAATAGTAATTTTAAGAAAACTTTTACAGTAAGTAAACTATTGAATTAATTATATTAGTAACAATGTCTCAATAGATTTAATTATATTGGAATTTAATAGTAATTTTAAGAAAACTTTTATAGCAAGTAAACTATTGAATTAATTATCTTAAATGAATGATTGTACAAAATAACTCATTTCTTTAAATTAAATTCCTTAAAACGAACAATGTGAAACAAATTAATATCAGACCTAGATAAGCTGGAGTGCCAACAACTGATCGTCTGAAACTTTTTTCTCCAATTATTCTAGCAAATCCAAAATCACACAGCTTTACCTGAAATTCATTTAATAAAGTTCATGAATTAATACATGCAAAAACTAAAATTTAATTTTATTGATAAAATATTACATCAATATATAAGATGTCCAGTAACGACTGCTCATGGTATATATTTTCAGAACGTTGTAACTAAATAATACTTAAGGGAAAAGATGCAATTGAAATCAATGAAATAACTATAGAGGAAGGGGAGACTGAAAAAAACCAAGACCATTTCAGTTACCGCATTAAGCTTTGTCATCTAACTTTTCTATTTCCAATTGTAATCAAACAAGTATTGATTTTTTTCAGTCCAGCCTTCCTCAGTAGTGACAGACAGAAAACTGACAGACTCAGTTAAACATTTGAAGATTAAGAGGAAAGAACTGTTGATTGAGCTTTATTGAGTGAAGGGTTTATTGGCACAAGGTTCACAGAAGGACATGCTATGCCAAAACGAACGGTTTTAAAATAAATCTAAATTTAAATGCTTACTTTAAATGCTTCTAACTAAAAACACATGGAATTCATAAAACTGGACACAACATATTCAAAGGTGAATGAAACTGGATAAAATTTAAATACGATAAAACATCATAAAACATGAATAAAATCAGATAAAACTGTAAATAGAATAAAATGGTAAAATACAGTATTAAAGACCAATTGTGTGCAGAAATGCAAAAATGTTAGGATGATGGGAGTCACCTAACAAATTTTCTTGAGTTAAAAAAAAAGGTAAGACGATGACGGTTAAAACATGGGCAGATGATTAACATATGATGAACAGTGAGTAAAACTTTACAAGTGTTGCATTGGGAAAAGGAGGTTCTCAAAATAGTAAATGTAGATGGGTCAACCGAGTGTGGCCAATTTGGAGACGGATTGATGTTCATGAAAGCAGATTCTGAGGAAAAACAAATTTGACTGCTGACATTAATTATTAATTCTTAACAAGACTCATCTTCACCTAGAAATAACTCTCAGAAGGGTTTTTCCCATTATTAATTTGTCAAAACTTAGAGACAATCAAAATGCAACAGATTGCAATCCAATTATCATTTTGGAAGAAAATGAGCATAAATCATCTTTTATCATTATTAGTTTTTTCTCTGCTTAAATAATAATTTGTAATGCCTAACCCATATGCTTTTTCATTTCTTTTATATAATTCTAAAAATATATAAAAATGGTGGGCATTATAAGAGAGCTTGAATTTAAACAACAGATATAGAAAAAGAAATTGTATACCAAGGGAAATGAAGTTTTAAAAAAAAAATGGTTATCAAAAAAGGGAAGGAAAAAAAAATTCGTAACATGATTTTTGAGACATTTGTATAAAAAAATACTACCAAACAAAATGTGCAGGAAAATAAGTCTACTTACTTTAATCAATACTTATGTCTCCAACTAGTTAGCACAAAAAAAGAAGAAAATGTATAAATCAATTAAGAAAGCAATAAAGGAGGCCTTTTCTACTTTAGCACATTTTGAAAAAGGCAGATGATCTTAGCAATAGAAAAATGCGTTTTTTTTTAAAGAAAAAATCTTGAAGAATAAACATATTAACAAAAACAAAAGACATTTCCAAAAATAAATTCTTATGAAATGAGTGGATTTTCATAAAACTAAGAAATTGTGAAAATAAGTCTTTCACAAAATAACTTTTTTACACATATTCAAAAAGATATTTGATTTAGAGTTGCATATTTACCTATCTCATTACTCTTTGAGATTTTAAAATCAAATTAATGAAGAAGAAAGAAAAATATTTTTACAGTAAACACTATGCAAAATTTGAACTCGCGCATAATGTATTACAGTGATCATGGAAGTAGCAACATTTTGTTCCATATAAAATCAAGCTTTCAGAGAAATGGTGTGGATAAAATACCAAAGAAGTTTCCAAAATATAATAAATTAATTAAATAATTGTGTAAAAAAATGAGTTCATTGAATACTACTTAATATGAAAGTTGAATTACAAGCCTATCCCTTAAAATTTAATGATCTTAAACAACATTCATTTGAGAAATAAAATAATGGAGATTTTACTAACGACTTTTTTTAGGCTACAAGTAAAGTTTTAATACATCATGCATAATCATGTAAGACAAAAAGAGAAATTCAAAATTGGAAATAATATTAGCACTTATATTTAGCGAAGTAAACAATATGTATATAAATCTTAATCTAAAGAAGATTTTTTTAAACCATTATTTATAATTATTTGAACAATTGCATCATCTGTTGAGGAATAAGAGAAGTATTTTTGTCATCGGCCGATAATCTAACGCGATTTTTTTAAAAAAAATTTCTTCAACAAATAGGAAGAAATTTGAGAATATACATTTAAACAGGAGATAGTCATAAAATACAGGAGTCTTCATTAAAAAAAGGAGATGTGGCAGGTATGCATTCATATTTTAAAAATATCAAGAAATATAGCTAGATAAAAATATCACTAGCTTCTTTTTTTTTGTCAGCACTTCTGGTTTTCTAATTAATTTTTTAACCAGAAAAAAAAGTATTCACTGAATTTTTGTCCATTTACATCATTTTGATTACCAGTTATTTTGATTTTGTTTTTAATGCGCAGTCTCCTTTAGAAAAAAAGAAACTATCATTATTACAAAATATTAGATTTTCTTATTCATTTTAACAGTAGTCATACTTTAGTTAAAATTCTTGAGTTCTAAGAATTAAAGCAAATCATATTAATAATTAAGAAATCATTCTACGATATAAGACAATAAATATAAAATAAAAAGCTAATCTCCTCTCAATTATAGAATCATACTAAAACTTACTACAATTATAATAACTCATAATTAATAATTTGAAATTTTATTTAATAAAGCTTTCGAAAAAAAAAATTTATTTATTAAGCTTCAACAAATGAACATTTACCTGGGGAAAATCTGAATCAGAAGACAAAAGAACATTTTCTGGCTTCAAATCACAATGAACTATGCATTTCAAGTGCAAATGTTTTAAGGCCATTAATATCTGAAAATAAATTATTATTTGTAACGACAACATATATATATTTATNTATATATATATATTTGTGACAGAAACTAAACAACTTACTTGATAAATTAAGAACTTAGTGGTTCTCTCAGAGAGTCTACCTTTCTCACTAGAAAGGATCATTTCTAGCATATCTCCTTTTAATTTCTCCATGACAACAAAAATCTGAGAAAGGGGGAAAAAAAGTAAATCATTATCTTAAGAGAATATGCAATTGTATATTAAAATAAGAATTGTGAAGCTTAAAAAATAAGTGATACCTCTTCGGACTTAATAACTTATTAAAACTTCTGACTAATTATGTTCAAAAGTGATACATAAAAAGGTTATAATCTTAAAAAAACTCAAAAATGGAATTTCACTCATTTCAAAAGCATGTTGTAATTATTCGAAATTTCAGTTTCAATGATTTCATATATATGAAGAATAGATTTATTTTTTTATGACTGAAGAATAAGAATTTGTAAAATAATCAAGAATATTCAAATGATTTATCTTTCTTTTGATACATAAAAAACGTTATAATCTTAAGAACTCAAAAGTGGAATTTCACTCATTTCAAAAACATGTTGTAATTTTTTCGAAAATTTCGGTTTCAATGATTTCATATAAATGAAAAATATTTTTCTTTTTTATGACTAAAGAATAAGAATTTGTAAAATAATCAAGAATATTCAAATGATTTCTCTTTCTTTTTTTGTGATGGGTAATATATTCAGTATTTAAAAAAATAGCAAGTTTGCCACTGATAACTTTAAAAAAATTTCATTTGTTTTTCCTGCACATATTATATAAATTTTTTTGATAGATAACACGCATTCACTGAGCTCTTTATATTAGGATAAATATGCTAGTTTTAGTTTACGGAAATGCTTGGAGAAATAAGAAACAGCCCAACATAAAATAAATAACGTTATAATAAATATAATACTATAAGAGGGGGCATAGCCAGATTTTTCAACAAAAAATTGACTTCTTTTAAGTACTTTTTAAGAAATCAAAAAATACTTTTAATCACTTTCCAAAAAAATCCTAATCAGGTAGTAATAAATAAAAAAATTCTATTGTTTAAAGTTCTTAATTTATAAACATAAAATCAGTAAAATTCAAAAACATTTTAAAAAACTTGGTATAATCATGATAATATAACTAGTTTCTGATAAATATTGCAGAGAAAATAGTGAAAATATTGCATTTTTTGTAATTTAGAACGCCAATAGATACAGCAAAGAAAAATCTTTTTAATCGATAGAAAATTAAGCACTTTTTACTAACACTGAATAAAAAAGCACCTTTAAGGACTTTTAAAAAAAGGAATAAAAAATAAGCACCTTTAAGACCTTTTTAAAAATGCTACGTGCCCTGTATAGTATAGCTGAACTTCTACAGTTGAGCATCTTTAAATATCCCTTAGATAGCTCTTTGAGGTCTGCATTTTTTGAAAGACAAAAATAAAAAATAAAATTCCCTGTTTCTTTTCCCAGTTGGTGAGGAACAATTCAAAATTTCCGTCATTTTCCCTATTATAGCTGATTTTTTAATTCCCTGTTATTTCCAGGTTTTCCCTATTCTCTTTGTAGAGTGGCAACCCTGATCAATAAATTAAAAAGTAAACCTACAAATATTGGGGTGTTATAATTGATATTTATTTATTTTTAAGAAAATCCAGAAACTTTTACTTTAATTAAGAATTTTTAATAAGTTTCATAAGCTTTTCCTGGGAATAATAAACATTCTTCAAACCATTAAAAATTTATTTAATTGGAACATAAGTATCACCGTTAAAAAAGTCTAAGTGAAGTTTAAAAAAAAATTGTGAAAGAAAGTAGCTGTAGATTGAAAAAAGATGAATAACTCAACAAACTGAATACATACCCTCTCAACTGTCTCAAACATCTTTTCCAAATTTACGACACCATGATGATGAATATTTTGCAGAATTGACACCTCATTCTTTAACTGTGCTTCCTGTTTAGTAGGAAAACGCATTTTGTCAATGACTTTAATAGCAACAGATCTACCAGAGGTCCTGTGAACACCTTCAAAAAAAGATTTGAATAGATAAGTAAATGAAACACTTATAAAAATAATTATAATTGAGTGAATAAAAATCTTAAGAAAATACCACGCACAAACAATTTTTCCAATAGAATAAAACAATGTCACTAAGGCTCAATCTTTTTGCTAAGGTAAAAAATATTGGTTTGATATTATTAATGGTTATACATAGTAATAATTAACAATACTTATCAACAGTTACTAATTATTACAGAGAATTACCAAAATTTCTTTTGAGAAACATTGTGATTAATGATAAGTATAGTTACTAACAATCATGATTATTATTTTTTACTGCTGTCTGTTAATAATTGTTTATTACTGCCTGCATCATTAAGTACCAGACTGTATAGAAAATTCTTAAAAATACTCATTAAGCATAGTACATTATCGAACCTTACTAATCTATCGTTTACATCGAGAACAAAGTTAAATTTTTTTTTTTTAGCTTAATGGTTGACACAAAATTTTAATTAAACAAAATTTATTTAAATTGTTTTGGATTTTCTTTTTGTTGACACATTACTTTTTTCAATTAATTCTAATTGCTTTTCAAGTTATATTTCATGGTACACTCAGGAATGAAAGTGGACAAAAATTTAAAAAAAAGCAGAGCTTCTACAACACAGTCACTTAGCTGTAGGGGGAAGTGTTCGATGTAATACTGTGACATCAATAAGATATATAAAATCATGACTTCGAACTCTACCAAGGGATTTTTATTTCATATCAAAATGGCAAATGCGTTTAGACATTTAAATTTAAATTTTTCGAATACAAATATAATTTTAAACTTCTTTGATCACTACTACATTAAAGAAAATTAAGCAATACATTCAGCAGTTATGAAAATTCATCCTGTGATTCGATGCATTAAGTGAAAAGGACACGAGTAAAAAAATAAAATAAAAAACATGTGCTTGGATAAGTACAGTAGTACCCGAAAATAACGAGTGGAGTAGAGAGAACTATAATATACAAATGTGCATCACACCAAGGAGGAAAACTATGTATCACACATCAGCGGTCGAAACGAAATTGTCAACAGCCCAAAACCTCATCCTTTCCGCTCTATATCGGAAGTAGCGTGTGTCAGGGAAACGGAGCATCTTCCAAAGCTCTATTTTCTCCTGACGAGCATTTTTATCAAATGGCTATTGGAGGGAAAGAAATCTCTTTGTAAGTACGGTCATTTTTTGAACAGGGTGGGATTTGGCAGTTAAGGGAGTCTGTAATAAATATACCCCCCAAAAGCAAATTTTCGCTTTTTTTGCAGAAGTCTTTTAACCTTGTACACTGTAACTTAAGTTTGTAATGGACAACTTGCATTAAAACTTTCATAAATACAATATTTCAAGCAATTAACCTTGGTGGAATTTTTTTGTTTCGGACATTAATGCCCAAATTAAGTTTAATATAATAACCGCATTGAGTCGAAATTGTAATAGAATTTCATTATCTTTGATATTGTAATAAGAGTATTTGCAGAAACTTTTAATCAGAGCCTTGCCTTGGAGGTTTGAGTGAGCACTTCTTTATAAGCTAAAAGGAACAAAATTTTTTACTAGGCTTTAAAAAAAAAAGATTACATACTTCACATTCATCAAAATAAAGATATATAACAAAAGTATTTTATTCAATATTCACCCTCAGTGCATATCAACTGTTGACACTGTTGTCGATGCAAGTGAAAAATAATGATTTAAAATTAATATATCAGAAACATACCAAAACCAATAAGTAAATGCTAACAGTAACAATGTTTAAAATTCACTGATTCACTATGTGGACATTCACTCTTATTTATAAAAAGAAATTTATCTTTAATGTTACCTTAATCCCCGTGGCAGAATCGTGGTGACATGGCGACATTGTAACAGATCATTACAGAGTTCTTGCAGAAAGATTTTTCTTTTGGAAGTAAAAAGTTTTTTTCTTTCTGCCGAAATTCTCAAGTGATTTTATCTTTTCTTCAGAATTGTATTCAAAAGATGCCTTTCTCGTGCATCCAAATGGAAAAAAATGTTTTTGCCTTTCTCATTTGAGAACAATGAAAAATAAAGATTAATGAAGTAAAAAATTTGGTTTTCTTTTCTGTAGAAAATTCCGTTCTAATTTTTTTAATGCAGTTATTGCTATTGATTACCACAGTTTGAAAATCTGATACTTTTTAATACAATATTATTTATTACAACAACTGAATCTAGAAATAAAAACACGCATTTAGTAACCCTTTTTTGAAGAGTCCGATTTACTGCTACGGATTTCACGATTCTTTAATTTTTTTTAATGAGATGATGATTTACAAAATGCGAAAAGAAAATAATTACTGTGGTTTCCCCCTACAAAATGTGAGAATATAGCCCATAATATTAGAATAAAAAAAATATTACATATTTAATTAAAAAATTATTTTATTTGATCTGAAAAGTCTGTTTTTTTTCCTTTTTAAAAATGCTTTTGTTACTTTAATTTAGTAACATGCAGATTTGTTATTTTTAAAAGTATCTTGCAGAAAGATATTAGTATTAGAGAGGTATGTCGCAGAAAGCCCACATCATAGAATTGCCATAGATAATTTTTGAATTGTGTTGTACATTGATGCATTATTGTGAAAGTTACATGATTACTTTTAGCGCTGACTACACAAGTTTGCTTATTAAAATTCTAAAAAGGAAGCAAAAAATTTGAAAATATTTGTCATCATAATTCAAAAACTCAATACCTCCATATACAATGCCAAATTGACCAGAGCCAAGAACTTCATCAGGAAATATTTGATATTGTAAACTGATGTCCTGTACAAGAAAAAAAAATATTATGTTTCATTTCGTACAATAACATTTCCAGGTCACCAGGTATGATTTTGTTTGAATGATTAAAAAAATGCTTTTAAACTTTTGTATATTAAATAATTAAAGCATACTGACCAAACTTTGTTCCCCTTTTTCTTTTTTCGTCTGGGCTTCATTACAAGGTTCTATATAATAGAGAATTTGTATAATAAATATACTTATTCAAAATTTATATTAAACAAATTCTAGAAATAAAATAGATTTTCAAAATAAAAATTATTATATGAAATGCAAAATGTTATAATAATGGGGGAAACTTCAATTTTGATAATGATTTCTAAATAAAAAAACAAGCATGAAGAAAATTTTAACAATTTTTGAATGAAATATGTCAACTGCCTTTCATCAAAATTGTTTATCTATTGAACTAAAATTTATTGTTTAAGTCACAATAGCTGTTAATTTTTTAACTCATTAATGAAAAAGAAGTAAATGCTTCGAAAAACATAATACACATTTTTTTTAAGCTTAATGGGGAAGAAAAAAAAACTTATAGCAAATTATAAGCAAAAACATCCATTAATTGATTTGATATAAATAAATTATCAAAATTATTAACTTTAAATTTCTACATTTGTGAATTTTTCTTTACAACTCAATTGTCAGCAAAAAAAAAAAAATATCAATAATATTTTAATATTCTTTCATGTGTTATAATCATTATTTACCCATGGATCTTAGTTTTGAGTTTGAGTTTTGCCATGAGTTTTGTGATGCTGTATTTTTTAAATTTTTTTTTAAATTATATTCAGGCAAATCAATTTCAATTGAGAAATATTTTTTCATTTTTGCTAGTTTTTTTATTTTAACTAAAGTGAAGCACATTAACAGAGTGTTTCTAATAGACTTAATTCTCTTACTGTCTCTTTTTTCTTGTTTGGTAAGACNCTCAATTGTCAGCAACAACAAAAAAAAAAAATATCAATAATATTTTAATATTCTTTTATGTGTTATAATCATTATTTACCCATGGATCTTAATCAATGCATCTCTTTGAACCTACTTTACATAATTTTACAAAACCTATATTTTGCCTTTTACAAATTTAAAGAATAAAAATAAAATTACTTTATACTAAGCCATGAGTTTTGTGATGCTGTATTTTTTAATTTTTTTAAAAATTATATTCAGGCAAATCAATTTCATTGTTTTTTCAACACTTTATGTTTTAAGGATTGAGAAATATTTTTTTTTCATTTTTGCTAGTTTTTTTATTTTAACTAAAGTGAAGCACATTAACAGAGTGTTTCTAATAGACTTAATTCTCTTACTGTCTCTTTTTTCTTGTGTGGCAAGACAGATAACTTGTAACAGAAAAAACTGAGATTCTCTACACTAAAGTTATATTTCAGAACTAATAAATGTTTTCCTGTTTCTCCCTAATTATTTTTTATTATTCTTTTTATCAACGATTTTTTGTTACAACAATATTTTTTAAAGAGCTTTTCTAATGTATGTTATTCTTTAATGGCCACTTTTTTCTAAAAATATGGCAATGAGAAAAAGTTAAATTAAGATTTAAATAATTTAATTTTTCGTTTAAAAATTAATGATTCTTGTTTTGGTTTCCATTTAGCTTTTTCTTTTTTAAACAAATGTTTTTATTATGACACAGCAATTGAGATTAAAATACAGTAATTGAAAAACTAAAATGTTTAGCAGATTAGAATTTTCTTTTTTTTCAAAAATTAACATCAATTTTGAATTTTTTGTGTTTTGCTTTTGTATATAGTCTTTATCTTTTAAGGCGTTTTTATAATAGTGTTGCATTTTTAAAAGTATTTGTGATAGACATTATCTCTTTTAATGCATTCTGGATAATTTCTTGTTCTGGAAAATATTATTTTTAGCTTTAAAGTTTCGTTTTGAGAATTAAGGATATTTTTTTTTTCAACTTTATAACTTTAGTTTTTTTTTTAATAGTGGTTAGTTTTTATCTATCAAATATTTCTATTTAAGTTTTCTTTTCTCCCTTTAATCCACACTAATAATACAGCTAATTTTTGATTATTTTTCAATAATGAATAAAGCTATTTCTATAGAAAATAATTACTAATGATTGTTTTGAAAAAATGTCGTGATTCAGCTGATTTTTTTGGCTGAATATTTGGTATGCGGCCAAATCACTATTCGTTACATCCCTATGTTATATTACATAAAATAATTTTACTATAAAATTGTCCAATATTTAATCTATCAATTATTCAAGTACCAATGCATAACTAAAATGAACTCTCATAAATTTAAGAGATCATGGGCTTTATTGGATTTTTTTTTCTTTTTATGCTTTTTGCTTAGAAGTTTTGAAATTTGGGCTTAATTTTTAGTTTCAGTTGCTTTAAACACAGTTTAAAACTTCTAACCAATTTACACTTATAGAACAATATTTATTTTAAATTGTGAATCCAAAAAATCAACTTTATATTACATAAAATATTTTTATTACAAAATTATTAGATTGAATTATTACAAAATTATGTATCAAAAGATTTAATATATTAAGTATTCAAACACTACTGCATGACTAAAATAAACTTTCATAAATTTAAAGAGATCATTGGCTTTATTAGTGTTTTTTCCCCCTTCAGTTGAAATATTTAAACTGAATAAACATTGAAAAAATTAGGTGATTACGTTATTTAGTGATTTTTAAATTCCCTATATTTTCCAGGTTTTTCCTGTGGAGTGGCAACCCTGTTCACGAACTAGTTATATCTTCCAGGTACTGGTCCTTTGAACATAAGGCTAAACTTTATTAATTTCTATCCTGGTTTAATTGTGAATCAGCATTTATTATTACAGTCAAACATTTATTATTACAGTTTATTATTATAGCGAACATTCAAGGGACCGAAATTTTGGTTCACTATAACCGGGAGTTCACCATATTCGTACTGCTAACAATCTGAACTGTTCTCTTTTATTACACATTACTTAAATAAATGATAAATAAAAAGAAATACAAAAATGATTAAAAATCAATATGTAGTAACAAAAAATGTGTTAACTTTTATTTTTATTAGTCTTCATCTTGCGTACAAAAAATTTAGGGATAGGAAACTGAGATAGAAGAAGCAAACAAGAAAGAATGCTTACGGTTACATTTCACTCAATAGAAGGCTTTAAAAATCGGTATAGGTATTTTATATAGAAATTTCAAAATTTCCGAAAAATGAAGAAAAAATATCAGTCAAAGACAGAAAAAAGTTCATAATATCCAATTTCTTCTCATCTTTTGGTTCACTATATCCACAAAAAGTAATATTATATGTGTATAAGTAAGGCACGGGAGTGAATATTTTGTTCACTATAAACCATGTTCACTATAGCGGGGTTTGACTGTATTTGTTTTAGAATAGAGCATACCTTTATTGAGATAAGAGAATTGGCAGGTTGATTTTGGCATATCAACAGGCATGAGTGCTTGCCTTATTGAACTCTCCCAAGCTTTCAGATTGCTGTTATCCTCAGCTATATAATAATCTACATTTGCGGTCCTCAGTTCCAAATAGTGCCCTTGATTGTGATCAGAACACATATTCTGTTTCGAAATTTCTACGGATAAAATCTCTGAGAGTGGAATTTCCTACAGGGATAATAAACAAGATGAGACATACTCTATAATTTTAAAGTTTTTTTTTTGTTTTATTCAACTATAAAATAAACTTGAAAATTGTATTAAAAGAAATATGATAAACAGTGTAAACACTTTAAATGAACATTAGTTTTAAAATATTTAAAAACAGTAATAGAAATCAAAATATGAAGCACCTAACCTAACTCATGAGATAACAGACATAACACTAAATAGTGTGGCCTTCATTTAAATATTTTAATTCCTAATTAAGTATGTATAAGATCAAAAAGTTTTTAGCAAAAGCAGTTTTGTAAAATATTGAATAAATTTCAAGACACAACGCTCAGTGATAGGACACTAATATCATAACATGAAATTACACTTTTCATGTGAAGCCTTATTTTAGAGTTCCTTAAAACTAATTTAAAAAATGAATAAATAAAAAAGATTTAAAGTTATTGTAACTTAAAGGAACAACAGTAACATTTGTTAAACTACAAACACTTAAAATGAAGTTTATGATTATGATATGATAAGTAAACAATAGAAATAAAGATTTGAAAGTTTACATAGATTCAAGATTAATTAAATAATTTAAAATAAATTTATTAAAAAGTACTTCAATTTTAAAATTCACAAGACTTTAGTAATACAGGAACGGTATTATACATAATTTCAACTCTTTAACTAAATTATAGATACGACTTACCTTATAATATTTCGATGTGGTATCGTTTTGAAATAAGGTCACACTTTTAGTATCAAGTCTCCAGAAATGTCTTTTACGCTGAAAAAAAAAAAAAAACAATTTAACACTAGGTAAAACTAAATTTTATTGTGAAAAAAAGACTTCCTTTCTTTTAAAAGTTTTCTAAACTAAGATTATAACTATTTGTGAAAAACTAATTGTCTTGAAAATATAAGAAACTCAGAAGTAGTTGTTCTCGTTTTTGAACTGAAGTGATTCATAGGAATTTCTCTGGTTGTGCATATATTTACATTATTATCATTGAGGTTTTTACCTAGCTTAATAATTTTTTAATCCTATCAAGAGAAGGATTCAAAACAAATTAAAGTAGTATCAGAAAAGTAGAAAATATTTTCCCATTTTATTTTATTTAGTATTACCAGTTAGCACACGAAAAAGAGGCAGGCCGAATATGAGATGGTTAGATGGCCTAGAAAAAGAACTTTTGGTATTAAAAAACTAAAAACACTAGCAGGGAAAGGTTAGCCTGGAAAAAACTTCTTGAGAAGGCCAAGACCCACCCTGGGCAGTCATGCCATTGATGATGATGATAGTGAATATTAACATTTAAATTTTATTTTGTATTACCTAAAAACAAGTAAAATTACTATTTATGCAAACAATAGTAATTTTCAAGCATACTTTATTAAGTATATAGATTCTGAATAGTATAAATCTATTAAAGCAAAAAATGTGAATCAATCTAGAAAAAGGAAATAATAAAATACACTCTTATAATTTATTCAATCTGGTTTTTTGTTTTTTTTGAAAAAAAGAAAAAAACATAACTATTAATTAAAATATGAATCCATTCAGCTTAAATAATTTTTGATATGAATTCCTCACAAAGATTAGTTTGCAGAGAAAAATAATTTTGCACCTGATATAAAGAAAAAATTACAAAACATACTTACCATTCCTTCCTTGTTTGTATGATGCATTAACCAGCCTTCCTTAAGAATTTTATAATTTTTGCCTTTTGTGTGTTTAATACTTTGAACTATTCTCTGTAGGGGTATATTGTTACTAGAGGCTTCACTAAAAGAACAAAAAATTATATCATTGAAAAAGTAGAATTAAAAAAAAATAAAGGTGAGTGTAATATTACTTAGTCAGTTTTGTAATTAAATGTTAAGCATTTTAGAGCAATCTGTGTCAAGCTGAAATATGCATAACATATTTCTGAACATCTTAAAAACAAAAGTTTATTATTTAATAATTTTCAATAAATAAAAATCATTAATATAATCTCTAATCTTTTTGTACCACAACCTTCAATTAAGTGCAAAAATAAAATCCATTTTTGAAGATTCCCTCTACATTTCTTAACACATTAGAATGGAAAACTGTTATAGGGTTGCTGATGTTTTGATTTCATTAAAATTCTCTCGAGCTTTCTCTTCCTTCAACACATTTGAATGCATAAGATTAAGAAAAAGAGCATTGGCTTTAAATTTAATCGGTTAATAGCCAAAAATTACAGTCACACCCCCATGGCTATTTTCTAAATGTATAATTTGATAATGTATATTTATATTAAAAATTGAGATTAATTTCTGTTTTGGAGCTCCACATAAATTTCAAAAATAAAGCATTCTTATTTATTATAATTTGACTGTTTATTAAACAATTTATGATTTTCTCTCAAATAATTGCTTGCCTACATCAATCAACATCTTCTTCAACTGATGGTAAATTTACCAACTTCTCTTCTTTAATCTTTTTCTATTAATTCTATCAATGTATGATAGTTTACAAAATTAAAAAAAGTAATTTGTGAGCGCCTATATAAAGTAGGTTTTAAATTAATGTACATCATTTGTGTAGAATAAATAAATTGTAAATAAAGTAAGATTTTAGCAGAACATGCGGAAAAAATTATGTATTGACAAAGTGAGGTTGACTTAATTAATAAAGAGAGTACAAGAAATATGAGTCAAACTTAAAACATTTTTCTAGTTTTCATTCAATTGCTTGAAATTTTTAGAAAGTGGGATCTGCTTGAAATTTTTACAAAAAAAAAAACAAATTTTGCACTTAAATAACTTTTATCAGCTGAAATTGCAAGATTGTGCACAATTTCATATCATTATTAGGAAAACCTTGGCAGCAGATATTTAAAAAAAAAACTTACAATTTTCAATTTTACCAAAAACAATTGATATAGATAATGAAGAACTGTGAAATAGAAAGAGCAAAAAATATCTCAGTCACAGGTGTTTCTACATGTGAATGCACAAGCATTTAATTTATAATTACGTATTATAAGCTTTAAAATAAATGTTTAATTGAATCAATCTTCAAGTGTATTTTAAAATTGATTGTCCATATAAAAATTTAATTTTCAAACTTCTCCTATCATGAAATGTACAATTGTTAAACTCTTCATCTCTGTATACGATTAAACGTGAGTATTTAGATAATGTTAGAATATCAATATTAGAATATTTCTTAGACTACTTTATTTAGTAGACATTATTTTATAGTCTATAATGACTTACTGAACAGGAATTTTAGATTCATCATCTTGTAGGGAAGATTTTCCAGAAGAATTATCACTTTCTTCTCCTGATTCTTCATCCATATGATCCATTTTTTCATTATCATCATTTGAACTGTTTTTTGATACATCAGAAACTAAAATAAATGAAAAGATAAATAAAGAAAACATTAGAAAAATTACAAAAATCTCAAAGACAATAATCAAATAAAACTAAAAATACAGAGCTTCACCAATTGCCAAGATTGGTGAATCTGGGTTACATAGAGCCAAAGTTCGCATAATGAATTTCTGCCTCACCATCAGAGGGTGATATAATCAATAATAAAAATTATGAATATGCATCACTTGTGTATCAATAATAATCAATATAAATTATTTTGTGTATCAATAATAAAAATTATGAATATGTATCACTTGAATGAAAGGCTTGGGTAGCCTAAAAATTATTACCCACATCTCAATATTTTATTTTCTTGTTTATTTATAAAATTTAATTACTATTTAAATTTTGCCTCTATATTAATTACACCATTCAACACTTAATAACTGCCAAAATAGTTTCCAACCAATCAGTGTCTTAAACTTGGGTCATGAATTCTTTAAATGTGGTTCAGCAAAGCTTTTTTTGAAAACAAACTATGCATCTTTAATTTTTTTAAAACCAAAAACTATTTTTTATCACTTAATTAAACAAAGAAAAGTGTGTATATTAAAGAGAAAGAGTAATACTTTTGCTTCAATTTCATGTCCAAGTTTGAAAAGAATATTTCAGTAATTCAAAGTGAAGCTGGAATTTCGCAAAGACAAAAAAGACTTGATAGATTACACAGACAAATAGACTATAAAACTTAAATACCAGGGACCAACATTTCAAAATGATATTCGGAGATTAATTAATTATTAATATACTATGCATCAAAACAAATTTAATGCATTATAAAAGTTTCATAAATTTTTTTTCAAGATTTTTTTGTATTATTGTATAGTGCACAAAAAAAAAAAAAAAAAAAAAAAAAAAAAAAAAAAAAAAAAAAAAAAAAAAAAAGAATCATTCTCAATTATTTTTAATTTAATGATCAAATCTTCAAGTTCAAGGGCTCCATCTTAATGATTTGAGTGGGTGACTTCAAATATGCTAATTAATTAGCATAGGACACAATTATAGCAATTGGACACAATAACATATTTTCTCTGAATAAACATAAATTATTTTCAACAGACTTGAAATTCTAACCCCTAAAATATAGGAAGTAGCCGCATTCCAGATAATATAATCTCAATAGATTGGTCAGGAGAGCAGTGCAAAGTGTGGACCCCTAATGTTAATTTTCCTTTATATGTATTTCATCATATCTCGAGAACTTTTTATGTGAATTGAAAATTTTTTTGCAAAATTATAAAATTTGTTTATCCAATGATAATTCCCAGCAAATTAAGTTTTAGTAGGTGTTTATTATTCTTATTATTTTAAAGTAAAATTGAAAAAATTTGAATCGTAAGGTGTACAATTGTATACACCAGTTTTAAAAAAATATTGTATACCTTACAATTCCAACTTTTTTCCTCTATTATAAAAAAAAATAATAAGTATCTACTAAAAGTTTTTTTTTCCTTTGCATGAAATTATCGTTGGATAAACGAATTTTATAATTGAGCACAAAAATTTTCAATTCACTAAAAAATTTCACGAGAAATATGCGTAAAGTAAAATTACTTAAAGGAATCCAAACGTTTGATTGCTCTCCAGACGAAACTATTGGGATCATATTTCCCAGATTGATTGTAATAATTCTTTATTCTAATATTATGGGTGATATTCTCGCATTTTGTTCGGGGGGGGGGGGCACAAATTATACCCTTCTTTGCATTTTGTAATTAATAATCACAATAAGAAAATAATTCAAAATCATGAGGTCTGTAGTAGTAATAGCCGGAAAAAAATCAACAACGAGATCACAATCAGGCACCTCAAATTCATATTTCGTATCGATTAAGTTTTTGTAATAAATAATATTGTATGAAAAATATTGGATTTAAAAACTATGGAAAAATTAATAGCAATAACTGCCAAAAATTAGATAAAATTATTGCCTTAAATACTCAAAAGCACGATTCGAATTTTCCATACTGTTTGAAATATATCAGGGTATTTAAAATCCTTGTGAAAATCAATTACTGCCGAAAATACAATTGAAACATTACATCGATTTACGATACTATCATCGTAAATTGAGCACATCAAAAAGTGATTATCTAAATGCATGATTCAGATTCAAATATCATGTGTAAATGTTTGTAGAAAAGAAAATGATTTTTCTTTTTACTTTTCAAAAGTAAAATCTTTCTACAGGAACTCTGTAACAATGTCGCTGCGATTTTGCCACAGGGCTTATAACTTCTTGTCGATTTTGCTTAGCATAATAAATTACATATTTGTAAAATTACATTTCCTAAACAATAAAAAAAATCAATTATAATCTACTTACAATCCTTAGGAGCTTCACCCATGCAATCCATTGGAGTAGATTCCATACACTTACGCTTGTGTACATTCAGTTTACAATCTATTAAACGAAAGCAACCATTTAGTTTAAAATTAAAACAAACACTAACACACTAAAGAAATTTGATTATGAAACATTTTTCAGCATTTAATGATTTAGAGTGCATAGCCAAATCTCTCAACAAAAAATAAGCACCTTTAAAGTACTTTTTAAGCACTCAAAAAATATTTTAAGTACTATATACATTAACAAAATGCAAAATAGTTTTCAAAGACTTTACATGATCAGGATAAAATAACTAATATCTGACAAAGAATTCTTTTCTTGATTATTTTAGCCATGATAAAAAGATCGAGATTAAAAAAAAACCCATGAAAAATGCACCTTTAAGGGCTTTTAAAAAACGAAAATCAAAAATAAGCACCTTTAAGCACTTTTAAATAGAATTATTACAAATGTACTTCTACCAACAGTCCCTTTCATCATTTTTCAAGAAAATAAAAAATCAATTTTTCAAATCAGAAAAACTGCAGCTTCTTTACAACTGATTTTCAAAAGTAAGATTAATGAAACATTTAAATATTCTGTTAAGGACAGAAAGATATTATACACCTATTTTTTTATTTATCTTTTCATTATAATCAGTAAGTTAAACTAATGTGATTACTCACATTATTTTAACTCATTATTTTACTAAATCTTTCAACTTCCACATTACTTTAGTTTAAAAATTTTAGAATTAGATTTCCTAAAGTATAAAAGCAGCTGTTTATGCTTTAATAGTTTGTGTTTAATAACATAATTTTTTTAAAAAAATATATACAATTATATAGTGAAATATTTAATAAGGATTAGAGTAGACATCAAAAATAATTTTACTAAACATTTAAAAAACAAAAGTAACAAAATTACCTCGAAGAAGCTCAAACTTTTAAACACTCTGCTCACTTAACTATTGCGAAATGTATAAGGCAAAATGAATGATTGTCACATATCACGAGGCAAATAAGTATAATAAACGACGATTTGAAAAAACTATAAAATCTCCTCTTTTTTCAACAAAAATGCACCCCATTAACATTTGATCATTTATTTTAATAAATTGGAATTAATTTGAATATTTTATAATATATTGAATACTTTATATCATGAATGTTTCTTAAATCCTTATTCATCAAGAAATGAAGCTTTTAATGACATGCCTATCTTGATAAATGCTCCAAAAGAAATGACATTAATATAAAAAGTTTTTTTTTAATGGTTTAAAATTCTCAATTTTTTGAAAAGTGGCCACTGTTCAAAATGCTACAGCTGGTCACTGGTCAGTAACAAACTTTCTTAACTTCACCCTAAAGTGATGTGCATAATTTTAGAAATATGAGGATGAAATGTTTACAAGGTATCTGCTACATTTTAGATTTTCAAACTCATGACTTTTCATGACGAATTCCAAGAATTTTTCATGACTTAACAAAGTTACTATTTTCTCCGACAAAAAACACAACAATAAATTTAAAAAAGCATTATAACAACATAAACTGAAATGATAGGTATAACCAAAACTGTTATACTTTGCATCTTCATATTCATTGATTTTAAATTTAAAAAACACAGTAAAGAAACAGTTAAAGCAATAAAATAACTGAAAAAAATACAAAAGCAAATATTTTTTTTCCCCTTCTTTCTGCATATTCTAAAGATACTTTTCTTGTTCATCAGAAAGGAAAGAAAAGAAAAACTTTATTTTTCTGTTCTCATTTCGGAATATAAAAAATTCGCCAAACAATGGCTTCTTCAGCTAGAAATTGATAAAATAAAAAATAATAACAAAAATTCTGAAATCACATAAGTTTAAAAGATAAAGCGCTCAAGAAATGATGTTTTTTCTTTCATTTTTTTAAGGAACACCATAATTTTTTAAGAACATGATAAAATATTTTATATTTTAATAAAAATGACTGTGAGAGGGGATTTTGTTACAAATTCAGATATTTAGAACACCATGAAATTGGGGGGGGGTCAAATTCCATTTTAAAAATTAGATTTTTTGGCGACCTAAATCCATGACTTTCCATGATTTTTTTTTAAAAAAAAGCTAAAATCATGACAAATTTTGTTCAATACTGAAATTAATAATTAAAAATTCTTATGACTTTCCAGGTGCGAAGAACTATGAACTACGAAAAAGAAGTATTGACATAAATGTGTTACCTTTACACTGCATCCCTTGTCTAATAAGACCCTTTAAAAGTTTCTTGCAGTAAAAGCAGACTGTTGGCCTAGTATAGGAATGGATTTCAAAACGATGAGGCACCTTCATTTTGGAAGAGGAGGATGATTTTTCAAAAAATGTAGTTTTTCCAGGTGGCAATGATGGAGATTTACGATTTCTATTCGGAGAAGGTGGCTGAAACTTTGAAATGAATAAAAGTAAGTATTGGTGAAAGTAATTTTTTAAATCAGCTAACATGAGTTCTAAAATACTAATACATTAATCTCATTCAAATTTTGCACATCTGTTGCAGTTAAATTTCACCAATTATTTAACAAATGTTTCTTTTTTTCTTACTTTTAATCATAACTAATTTTAAAAAGCATATATTTACCAACTATATATTACTTCATTACTTATTTACATTATATTACTTCATTTGCATACACCTATGCCAAACATTCACTTCTCATTTAAAAAAATAAATAAATAATAAACCCTGCACTCAATCATATATATTTACTTTGTTACAGAAAAAATTTTGGTATTGATTGTTTCATAAATCTATCATAAATTATTTTAACCACTGTGCGGCTTTTCAATTCTAAAAATTTAATTAAGAACTGAGTTTTAAAAAAAATTATAAAATATTGTTCAATGCTGTTTTTTAATACACTTAAAAATTAGATTGAATAGTCCTCTTATTAAATTAACATAAAATAAAGAGAAAATATAGATTTCTTTCACCCCTTAAAAAATATATAACACCTTAAAAAAGTAACTTTTAATGCAAATACAAGCAATGAGAATTTAGTGGTTTAAAAGGGCCACCCAAGTTTTCATTAAGTGGTTTAAAAAAAATACAATGACTTAGACAAATATAATAAAGTTCAAACTGTTGAAGAATATTTGTTTGTATGTTTTAGGATGTATATCAGTTACTACACATTTATAATTTAAATATTCCACATACAATAAGGTTTTTAAAATCTATTTTTTCATTGAATCAACAGCATACAACTCTTAAACCACATATATGGGTAATCATCATCTTGTTACTTTCTTTTTTTTAACAGGCTAGAATAATTTTTAGCATTTATAATAATGGATTTCTAGAAGGTTTTTATAACCATGGTATTATTAATTTCAATACTTTTGAGTTGTGATGATTCCAAAATAATTTCATTTGTCTTTTTTAGCAGTTATTGGTTATAAATTTCCACATAGTTTTTAAAATCTCAATTTTTTTTAACAGAAAATATTTACAACATTTGAATCTCAAATCACACATAATCACCTTTTAATGCAATGTGACAATTTTATCATAAACTAATCAAATAATGAAACCAATTTCCAAAATCATAAAAAGTAAGTAACATTTAAAATAATAAATCAAAATAGAAAAGCGCTTAAAGCAGTTAAATCTAAATTTGTTTTATTTTAATTTAGAAAGTCAGAAATGCAATTCTAGCAGAAAACAACAAAAAATTTTAAGATATGTGTGTTAGCAGGGCAGCACATCATCAGGGGACACACTGCCTGCTAATACACAGGAACCTTTCTGTTGTCAGTGGTGAAACCAAAAAGAAGAATAAATTATTTCCTTATATGTGGGAGTCTTTTTATTAAGTCTTACTCTGTGTATTTTTAAGTCATTATTAAGACTTACTCTGTGTACTTTTAAATTGCGATTATTTGTCATTAATTTTTTTTTTGCATTTCAATTTTTCTAATTGCTGTTTCTTATTTGTTTTACCATAATAGGGCCTTGGGGCACTGTCAGTTTTTGGTTTCACCACTGACGACAGAAAGATTCCTGTGTGTTAGCAGGCAGTGTGTCCCCTGATGAACTGCTGTCCTGCTAACACACATATCTTAAATTTTTGTCGTTTTCTGCTACAATTGCGTTTCTGACTTTCTAAATTTTATCGTAAATTCACAATGTAATGATTGCTCTTTTAGCAATATTGCCACAGGTTGCCATAGGATTTTTTCCCCCTTCATAATTCCTAAATTTTTTGGCATAAACCTATAATATTTTTATAGAAATGAAAATATAAAATAAAAAGGTTTGCAATTCAAAGTTAGTTGCACCAAAAATGCTTACTAATTTCTACAATGCACCTCGTAAATGAATACTAACCGTTGCCATATTAGGAATGCTTAGAGAAATCCCAATCTGATCAGACTGATTAGGAGTGTGTAAATAAGTGGATGATTTTCTTCTACGAGTGTGTGAACAGTTATTAGGTATTTTGTACACACATCTTTTATGAAAACTAAGACCACAACCTGAAACACAACAATACATAAATCAAGATTAATCATTTAAATCCTTGTAATAAAATGAAGCAAAACAAATATGCATGTTAGAAATAAAATATTTAAGAGATTGAAAAATATATTTTTTTTTTATCTTTAGCTCATCATTATTGAGGAAGAGAGAAGTGTAGATGAGATTTAAATACAGTACAGAACCCGTTATCCGGAAATTAGTAAACTGGAAAACCAAAAAAACCGGAACGAAATTCGATACATTTTCCCGCCATTTTAAAAAAAAAAATTTTTCCTCATAAGATTTTAGGATTTTTCTTTCTTTTTTGAAAGATGTTTACCTTACCATCATTTTGGAAATAATCATTAGTGTATTACTCCGTTTTTTCAAGATTATTTCCAAATATTTTTTTTAGTTGGTTTTAACAATAAAAAAAACTGCTTTTTGTAGCGATTCAGAAAACCGGAAAAATCAGTTATCCGGAATAGCGATGGTCCCGAGCGTTCCGGATAATCAGTTCCCTACTGTAATAAAGAAATTTTTCTTATTTAATCAGAGTGAAATACATTTTTGCTTTCTGCTAGGAACTGCCTTTAAACTTCATCCTCAGTTTGAGTTTATTTTAATTACTTCACTTTCGATGATCTCAATGATTACATGATTAGTCAGAAATTAAAAACAATTTTGCTTTTTCTCACACAAATTTATGTATCAAATCTATATTTTTAATTTCATTAACCGCTTCTCTGATTATTCCGCGTTAACTTGGGTATGTATATATTACAAATATCTATTATCTCGAAAAACAGGGGGGGGGGTGCGGATTTTGTCAGTACGCTTTGCATTATCAAGTTTTTACTCGGCTGGAAGCAAAAAAGAAAACAAACAACCTACTGTGCTTGGAAGTGTGGCAAGTTTTATTGTTAGTTTGTGGGACTGCAATTGTATATACGATGGTTGCTGAATTTACATAAAGAAAAAAAAAAGAGTAAAAAAATGGTGAATCACTTCACTGACATTTGGAAAGTTTTGTTTCACTTTGTTTCGTCCCTTGTTCCTAAAACTATCATACAAAAACTAATATTTAACTTTTTTCATTTGCCCGAGATAAATTGGGATAGTAAACTGATGGTAAATTAAATGTTTTTTACGCATAAAAAAATTAACATTTAAACTCAAAACTTGTGTACTATGTTTTGTTTTAGTTCCTTGTATTTATTAATAAAATAAAAAAAAAAAAATTTAATTTTTTTTTCCTCAAAAAAATTGGTAAGGAAAGCAGTTAACAGCAAAGATTAAAAAACATATGTATTAACACATTAAGATCAATGTTTATAGCAGTGATTCTCAACCCCTGTGCCGCGGCACTTTTGGGTGCCGCCAAATTCTTAAAATGTGCCTCCAAATATTAGAAATGATACAGTAAAAATTATAATGCTTTTTTTATTACAAGTAAAGTTTAAACTAAAGAAAAGTGTTTAGATATATAATATTATATATATACTTTTTATAATTTTTTCACGCTTCAACCGCGTGAAGATCTCTTTGTGGGCGATTGTCTTGTGTCTAACAATCTTAAAATAAGAAGGAAGTGTATAAATTGTCTTTGACACACAATTTTAAGAAATGTTGAAATTAGTAGGAAATTTAATGACTATTAAAATTATTAATTAACAAAGGCTAAAACAAGCTAAATACTAACTTCCAAGCGAAAATAAAAGCTAATCATTAAAGTAAGCTATGCAATTAATANATATTTATTTTATTTATGGATTACTAATAATTACTAAATGGGTAAAACTGCTTCAGATTGAACCACTAAGCAAAATAGATTGTCGGTAACCGAAGAAAAAAAGCAAGGCAAAATGGAAATTACTAAAAGACTGGGATATAGTTTTTAAATTACAAAAGGCATTAAAAAATAAAAAGCCATTTTAAAATTTCAAAAAAATCTTTAAATGAAGTTCTTAAAAAACAAATCTGAAGGAATAATTGAATGCCTCAATGCCTATAAGATTTTAGTTCTGAAATAACAAGAGGAGCAATAAAAAAAGAAAGAAAAAAAGACAATAACATACCTTCACATTTGAGAACAAGAATTAATTAATGTGATATTTATTTTATTTATGGATTACTAATAATTACTAAATGGGTAAAACTGCTTCAGATTGAACCACTAAGCAAAATAGATTGTCGGTAACCGAAGAAAAAAAGCAAGGCAAAATGGAAATTACTAAAAGACTGGGATATAGTTTTTAAATTACAAAAGGCATTAAAAAATATAGAGCCATTTTAAAATTTCAAAAAAATCTTTAAATGAAGTTCTTAAAAAACAAATCTGAAGGAATAATTGAATGCCTATAAGATTTTAGTTCTGAAATAACAAGAGGAGCAATAAAAAAAGAAAGAAAAAAAGACATACCTTCACATTTGAGTCCTTGTCTAACTAAGCCAAACAACATTTCTCCACAAAAGTCACAAAATGTTGGAGATTTATAAGAATGAAGTGCTAAGCAGTGAGGCCTTGTTTGAGGTTCTGAAGAATTATTATTACCTAAAGAAAAATTCAAGTTAATAGAATATGGTGCAATAGTATTATATTAGCAATATTATTTAAAATCATATGAATGTAATTTGAAGGCATCATTGCATTGATAGGAAAAAGCATAAAAATGAATGTATTTGCTCAGGGATTAAAAAAATACAAACTTTTATTGAAGAGGCAGATTTTTTTTTCTTTTTTAGTAATAGGAAAAAAAATTTCACGTCCATGTAAACTTTTTCGAGAACAGTATTCGCGCATATTATACGGATCGAGTTTAAAGTGACTTCTATTTTGTATGTTCTAAGAGTAATTCTGTGAATCCAAAAATTTGCGAAGAAAAAACAATCACATGTTCACTGTACTATTACTTATTTTAAGTTATTGAAGTTTCAAATTATTTCTCCTAAATAATTAGTTTGTAAGAATAAGAAAATAAAATAAAAGCATCAGTTTTAAAATTTTAGGTGGGGAGAGTTGTTATTGACAATGTCAACCTTCATCTATGAAAAGGTACCCCATCATAGAATAGAGTTAACATGTCTTACATACTAGAAAATTGTAATTTTGTAGTGTTTTATATATTAGTAAATTGGAATCGTATTTTTAAAACATGTCAAAAAATAATCAAAACCTTAATAAATATCCTTCAAGATTATGGAATCAAAACACCTTAGTCTGAAATGTCATGATAGTATAATGTTTGCCCTAAACAATCTGAACAGGCTGATAAATAAACCTAGCTTTAAATTTCCCTTAAAGTATTCATTTTCATAGTGGAAAAAAAAAGACTTATATTACATTACCTGATAAAACAATTTCTATCAATCCATTTTCTGAAATATCTGTAATGGCGATAAGAGGCAACAGAACATTTTCAAAGCTATAATCATGACGAAAGAAAAGCAAACGTTGGCTTAAATCACCGTGCTCATGACCAGGAAACTAAAAAATTTAAAAACAAATCTTTTTATAATCTATGTTCAAAGCAAAACAAAATTACAGTGAATAAATTGATTGAGGCCATGCCTGGAGGTGGCCACCTACAGAAAGTTAATAAATTGCATAATTTCTTTGCTTTTAAAATTTTTTTACCACATATACTTTTTGAAAAATAATTAGTTTCTTTTCTGTTCTCAGCAAGTGACAAAAGCCACAACAACAAAAAATTTGATTAAAATGGTTGGCAAGAAAAAAATAATGACAAATATCAGGTACAGAAGCAAATTAATTCCAAAACTTATTTTTTTATACGAAACATTAAAAAAAAAATTCTAATATACTCATCAGAAAATACATGTTTAATCAAATTCAGAGATGAGTTATTTGCTTAAAGTTGCATCTTTGAGTTATAAGAGATGAGTTATTTGCATCTTAACTGCTTCCCTTAACAATTGATTTGGAGAAAAAAAATGCAAAAAATCATCATATTTTTTATTACATTAATAAATACAAGGAACTAAAACAAAGCATTATACACAAGTTTTAAATTGAAATTTTAATTTTTTATGTGTAAAAAATATTTAATTTACGATCAGTTTATTATCCCAAATTATCTCGGGCAAATGAAAAAAGTTAAATATTAGTCTTTGTATATGTTCACATCGTCATAATCTGAAAAATCATCTGCATTACTTTCACTTTCGCTCGCGAATTACATTTTTTCATTTTTCTTTCTATGTAAATGCATCAACCATCGTATATACAATTATACAAAACACGTCTGCAGTTCCACAAATAACAAAACTCCCAAACAAATATTAGCAAACTTTCAATCACAGCATATTATTATTATTTTTTGTTTTGCTACCAGCTGAATAAAAACATGATAAAATGCATTGAAGAATTCTGCTATGCCCGAGTTTACTCGGGATAATAAATATTTGCAATATATACAGACCCGTGTTAACTCCGGATAATCAGGGAAGAGGTTAAGAAAAGAACTGAATCTAATAAATCCTCTTTCATAATTGATCTCAAATCATTATAAATATATTTTAAGACTAAGGATAGTCTTTCGACTGCAATTTGCAATTCTGTTACAATACAGCAAGCCCCTAAAAGTATGTAAGATGCAATGAAATTGCTGAAGCCCTAGATCAGGGATGGGCAAACTTTTTTGGTCTAGGGCCAAAAATCAAGAATATAAAATCAAAATCTCGGGATAATAAATATTTGCAATATATACAGACCCGTGTTAACTCCGGATAATCAGGGAAGAGGTTAAGAAAAGAACTGAATCTAATAAATCCTCTTTCATAATTGATCTCAAATCATTATAAATATATTTTAAGACTAAGGATAGTCTTTCGACTGCAATTTGCAATTCTGTTACAATACAGCAAGCCCCTAAAAGTATGTAAGATGCAATGAAATTGCTGAAGCCCTAGCGAAGCCTTTTTTGGTCTAGGGCCAAAAATCAAGAAAAAAAATATTTGGCAGGCCAAGTAAAAACTTCAAAGTTTAAAAAAAAAAGGTGATATACAAGTTTTAATTTAAATATTTAGTGAGATGAAGGAAATTGCGATTTCATTTTTAAAAGTTCCTTATATTAAAGTTGGAAGTGAGATGTGCTTATTTTAAGGAACAAGGCTAAATTCTTTTCTGTTAGTCTATTTCTGAAGTGATTTTTTCTAAGGTTCATAGTTGAAAACTCTTGTTCACATATATAAGATGAAGCAAACATAGCACTGATTTTCTGGGCATGAAATATTAAATTTTGGAAACTAGCTTTTGGTAATGATTTGTAAAACTTTGGCATATTTAGAAACAACTGCTTCAGATGATTGTTAGATCGTCTGCTCGTTGGATCTTAAAATGCGCAGTCTGCCAAATGTGAAGTACAATTTACCTACATTAGATTCCTCGAGAAAGACAAACTCTAGTTAGAGCCAATCTAAGGCTATTCTATGAAGAACTTCTACTTTCAACATTTTACCAATTGAAGCTGTCTGTGCTAACTATTTACATCAATTTATGTTTTGTAGAACAAAAATAGAGAAAGTAAAAATTTCATCAGTACTTTGTTAAAGAAGGAAAAACAGAAATCATTTGAAACATAGTCTACAAGAAAATGGATGTATATTATTTATATTTGCCACTGATCTGCAAATAAAAATTCTATCTGCGGGCCGGATAAAATCTTCCTGCGGGGCCACAGTTGGCCCGCGGGCCGTAGTTTGCCCATCCCTGCCCTAGATCATGGAAAAAATTTAGAAAGTCAGAGAATACACAGCTCGGGGAAACTTCAACTACGAACAAAACAATACTATTATTAACAGAATTCAATCTTCATGATTAAAATATCTCAGAAATAAATATACAAAAGAGAAACTTACATTTTTCATAAGAAATTTACAAGCTAATTCCTTCAATTTATCAAGTGAAAATTCGTTAAGATTTACAGTGATATTCTCTTTTAAAAGTCCAGTTTGTAATGTAAAAGTCAAGTCACTGGGAATATTCAAAATAGGCAGATCCATCCTATAAAAATTACAGGAGAAATTATTATGCATTAATAATCTATTATTACTAATTAATAATCAATTATTAAATATTAATATCAAGCATAAAGAACTAAATCATTTGTACACAACCAACAATTTACATTCATTTTACAAATAGCATAGTGTGAATATTAGTTTCACCATATTTCAGGCTTTCACACAGTTGTATCTAAATATATACATTCACACTATTATGTGTATGTATATGTTCTGTTGCGCAAAATTTTAATTTATTTAGAAGCTACGATAAAAATTTGGATCAGTTTTGGAACTTTTAGCATCATTTTATTTTGAGTAGTTAAGCCATTTGAGTCATATGTGGTTAAAAGTATCCTAAGTAATTTAATATGAAATTATAGACAAAAGTGCAGTAGCCTAATTTAACAACGCAATTACAAAATTGGAAATAAACTCAATTGTTCAAGATTATTTTAAACATTTAACATTAATTGGCCTGGCCTCTTAAAATAAATATTTAATGCATAAAACTTAATGCATTTGAAGGATCAATCAGTATCATTGTAATTACAACATTCTAAATTTAATGAAACAGTTATAAGATGGAAAAAAATTCTAGATCAAGCAGAGGATTTTGGACAAACATTATTCAATTTTTTAAATATTTGATTCCGCAGTTAATGATGACGTACAATTGAATTCACCAAAATTACTTCCATGAATAATAACTTTCTACATTTATCAAATCAATTAAAAAAACATTAAAAAAAATTTAAATTAGCAGGATTATTTAAGAAACCATGCATTCTATTCAGTCTGTTAAGAAATTTAATTCTGCCATTAATCTACGCGTGGAATTTAATGCAGGTATATGACAAATCTGGATCATTATAATTACAGCATTCTTAATTTCACAGAAACCTTTAGAGAAAAATGACTCACCCAAGCAGAATTATTTCAATCATTAAACATTTATCGAATTCAATTTAGAAAGATATTCAATTCTGCCATTAATGGGTCTATGAAAACGAATTCCTCTAGATGACAAACTCAGCAGTATTAGTTTAGGAGAAACAATTATAGACAGAATACTTATACACTTAATCAAGCAGGATTATTTCAAACATAACTGTAATCATTTATTTTATTCGGTCAATAAACTCAGAAACAAAAGCAATTAAGGGCATTTATAAAAAATGAAAAGCTTACTTAAAATGTAAATAAAACTCGGACAGATGAATTATAGAGATCCCGCAATCAAAAATTTATACATCACTTTCCTCATAACTACCGTGATTCAAATATACTTTTACAAAATTCAAATTTGAAACTCATTAATAAGCCTTCAAATTCTAATAAAATTAAAAGGCAAGCTTGCAACGTCAAACCTCAAAAACACTTGTTTTGTTTGTTATTTGGTGTTCAACAAGTAGACTAATGTAGGAGATCTGGACTTTTAACTTTCACCTCACCAGGAAGATTCAAAAAATTAGTTCACCATTAGCAAACCGGTTTTAGGCCTAAAAGGCAGCGCTTGTGTTGTTTTAGAGATCGTACCGTTTTCACTGCATCCTTCAAAGACATGAATTGGATTAAAACTGCATACAGCTCCGATTTCCATGGAAGAGAAATGAGACTCTGAGTGAAACAGAGAGTGATTTAAACCATGATTATTAGAAATAAACTCAATCTACTTTTTAAAATTTTTTTAATTGTGATTACATTTTTAGCTAACGTTTAACTAATTTTTTTAAAAAGTGGGCTCTAAATGTGGCTTACAGAAGATATTTGATTCAAAAGATTTTTAAAAAAAATGTTTGGTGGCTGAAATTAATTAAAAAATGAGCTGTTGTTGTTGTTAATTTACGTCGCACTAGAGCTGCACAATGGGCTATTGGCGACGGTCTGGGAAACATCCCTGAGGATGATCCGAAGACATGCATCACAATTTTGATCCTCTGCAGAGGGGGTGGCACCTCCGCTTCGGTAGCCCGACGACCTGCACGCAAAGTCGAGCACTTTACGGTAGAACAGTTTAGCGAGGACCAATACCGCACACCCTCGGTTCCTACGCAGGCTGATCCAAGTGGTCACCCACCCGCACACTGACCGTAGCCAGTGATGCTTGACTTCGGTGATCTGTTGGGAACCGTGTCTTAACGATCAGTCCACTGCGGGACTAAAAAATGAGCAACCCAGTATTATTATGAGTGTTAAAATGTTATTTTTACAATATAGTTTTAAGTTTGCAATTTTTTTTGTACTTACTAAATATATTTAAAATTCCATCAGGGAAATAATTTCGTAGGTTGTTAAGAAATGAGAATTAAGCATAGAAGCAATATTCTTGCTGTCCAGCAGTGGACTGATCGTTAAGACTAGACTCCCAGCAGATCACTGAAGTCAAGCATCACTGGCTGCGGTCAGTGTACGGGTGGGTGACCACTTGGATCAGTCTGCGTAGGGACCGAGGGTGTGCGGTATTGGTCCTCGTTAAACTGTTCTACCGTAAAGTGCTCAACTTCCCGTGCAGGTCGTCAGGCTACCGAACCGGAGGTGCCATCCCCTCTGAAGAGGATCGAAATTGTGATGGCATGTCTTCGGATCATCCTCAGGGATGTTTCCCAGACCGTCGCCAATGACCCATTGTGCAGCTCTAGTGCGACGTAAATGAACAACAACAACAATATTCTTGCTAAATAAATATTCCATTTTTCGGCGGGCTTGATTTCTAAATCTTTAAAATTTGAAGGTATAAGAGCCGCAATCTAGAAAACAAGGGCTAAATAGTTTTGATAAGAAAATGATTGGAAGTTATTTCTCCTTTTGACTTTTTTTTTGCGTCTTTAGCCGGTATGTCTCTAAAACTATTTAACCTGTACTTTTGAAACTCGGTCAGATATATAGTAAAATAATATGTTTCCATATAAAAGGAATATATTATTTTCTTAGCACCTGAGCATGCGAGGGTTGCAATCTAAAGATGACATCGCTTAAGATGAAGGTTTTTCCTTCAACGTTTTTACGGTTAGGAGAGAGTTGGGTGTCGGGAGAAATAGACGTCTGGTCATTCCGGACATTGACCGGATTAAAAAATCTTCTATTATCTCGATTAAAGATGATACCAGCTTTTGCTGTGCGATGGCAATTCTTTTAGGGAAAACTGTCATTGAAAGAGATCCGGATTTGCTAACTTTAAGAAAACAGCGATGTAATCTGTTGGAGAGACGAGCAATGGCATTGCATGGAGCGGTTCAGATGCCTGAAAGAGGAAATCTTTATTTTCGAAAGGCACCTTGATCTGCAAGTTATTGTGATCAGCAGCGAAAAGATGAACCAGGTAATATTTTTCATCGTTTTTATCTATTTAATTGATAATGAATTTTGCTAAATATATCTGATAAAATCCCAAAAAAGACATTTACGGATCTAGTCACTTTTGTGAATCTTGTTTGAAGCCATTTCAAAATGTTGAGGTTCCCTGGTGTGAATTTTTATACCACGTCTGCCGAAGAAGTAATTGTGCGAAAGAACAAGAGGGGATCAGGTGTACCGAATCAACACCTCCTAGAAGTAGGAAGGCCTCAGCACGGATCAATTTAGTAGTCCGATGTGACGAAGTTAACTGCGCAGTAGATGAAAAATAAGAAAGATGTCATTACGTTCGGGGTACTAAGCTGCGCAGTGGTTGAAAATACGAAATATGTCATTACGTTTGGACTACTAAAGGATATTTATGGTAACCCGTGCTGAGGCCTGCTCTTTTCTAGGAGGTGTTGACCGAATGCGACAGACTTTACAGCTTATCATAATGCACATATAGAAAAGGGGATGTGTGCTTCGGTACTGTATTTTATTTTATATAATTTTTAGCATTAATTGATTTTTTTTAGTTATTTATTTCTTAAAAATTAATGGTCCCGCCAGTGGATTGATCGTTAAGACACGGCTCCCAGCAGATCACCGAAGTCAAGCATCACTGGCTACGGTCAGTGTTCCCACGCGTCCACGTCGTCGGGCCACCGAAGCGGGGGTGCCATCCCCTCTGCAGAGGATCAAAATTGATATGGCATGTATTCGGATCATCCTCAGGGATGTTTCCCAGACCGTCACCAATAGACCATTGTGCATCTCTAGTGAGATGTAAATGAACTACAACAACAACAAAAATTAATATTTTACTAATGTAATGTAATCAGATGTTTTACAGTTTTTTATTTTTTATTTATTAGTGTCGGATGTGCTTGAAGGAAAAAAATGTCCTAAAGAACAGCATAAGTGAGGAGAAAGTAGGTGCAAGGCGTGCAAAAAATATCCCCCTCCCGATCATTTCTGTTCTCTTAATAAAGTAGAAGCTAAGAAGCCTAACGATAAGATGATGTTCGTCGATTTTGAAACGACCACTGGAGAGTACATAGTAAATTGTGCAATATAGTAATGGAGAGACTTGAAGAAAACACTTTGACTGATTTTTGCCATTTTGTGTTCAATCCTATTCATAAAGATTACACATTGGTTGCACACAATGTGAAGGGGTTTGGTGACCAGTTTGTTTTAAGATGGTTGCTGGTTATCAGCCTGAGGTGATTCCCCAAGGATCTAAAATATTGCAGATTTCGTTGACAGCATTGAACATCCGTTGCATTGATTCCTACAGTTTCTTTCTAATGGCTCCATCGAAACTGCCAAAGACTTGTGGGGATAGTAGTTATAGACAATGTCAACTTTCATCTACGAAAAGGTACCCCGGCATAGAATCGAGTTAACATGTCTTACATACTAGTGAATTGGAATTATACTTTTGAAGTGGTGGATACACTACAGTACTCCCCCACCAGAATTATATCTGTGATAGAATTCGATGAACTGATACCACTTGTTGATTCATTGCTGTTTTGTGAGAAGCCGGGAGAGCTGTATTAAGATCACCGTACTTTCTGATAATAGTAAGAGCTGTATTAAGTTCGTGGTTGCCATTAGCAGTCGAGTGTATCCAGACCGACGTTGTGCGTCATAGAGACTGAGTAGCAACAGCTTGAGGAGGTGGATACTGAGGCAGTCCCAAGTAGCAGGTTAACTATTCAATGTGGATCATTCATTGAAGTAGGCGTGTTCAAATCGAAGTGGGAGTTTCTGTCAAGGTAGGCGTTATATCCGGGTCACCAATGTGGGGAAGGGCTTCTTTCCGCTTCTCTTTAACACTGAAGAAAACAACATTTATGAAAGTGTAATGCCTCGCCAATCATTTTACAGCCCAGAAATGATGTCTAATGAAACACGCCAGATCGTCCTGTAATCGTAATAGATTCCGTTAAATTATCTAGAAATAACACTTATCTAGATTCAGCAGTTGAAAAAAATTATTTGTGGGAATTTGCATTTTTATAAGGTAGATGTTTCAGGAGATTGAATTCTTAAAGTTAAGAAAATGCGAATTCAAATAATTAGTCAGCTGACATTAAAAATACTTTTATTTTAAACAAAAATTTCATTTTTTTTTACAAACCAATAAAATTATTTTAAATATTGGTTCGATCTCCCTGTTGAAGCTTCGAAGTATTGGAAGCTAAAAGTAAAAAATATGAATTAATAAGAAAATCTAATTTACAATAATAACGGCAGGTTTTAAAATATTAGAATCATATTATCTTCTACAGATCTTATTAAACAAAATAAATTATTTCTTTTTTCACGATTTTAATTAACTGGTAGAAATTAATATTCTTTTCCAGTTAAATGGCATACCATTTTTGTCATTTCTATTCAATCCTCGTAACTAAAAGCATTTAAAGATGTGACAGGTACCACAGTCTAAAAATAAAATACTCTGAAAAAATACTACCATTAACAACCTTTACAGAAATTCAAACAGATAATTCTGATCGTATTAGGAAATAGTAGCACTTTTTTATTTTCCCATAATCAGGGGTGAAAGCGAGACGGAAAAGAGGAAAGGCTGGTAGTAAAACCATTTCAGTCATAGCTAGTTTTGGGGAGGAGTTTACTTACTCTTTTTTTAAATTTTTCAACAATATCTACTTCATCTTGGAAAAGAAGCAGTTTTATATATATGCCAGAATTATAAAAGAAATCTTGATAGTTACAGATATTTCATTTTTTTCGAAAAAAATGCTGGAATGAAATGTTTTACGTACCAGGTTTTTCTCTTTTCCGTCTTGCTATATAAGGGCTTTCACCCATGCCCATAATTGAGACTACATATTTCATTATGGTACTAATAAGTTTCAAAATTATGTTTTCTTTTTTTTTTTCCATACAAATCTTTACACAACCTTAGTCTATATTTTCGAACTTCTTGTCAGATGTCATAAAACTAGTTTTTAATTCAATTTTTCCCGCTTCTCTGAAAAGGGCTTCTGTTATTGTCAAACACATCAGAGTTTCGCGAAATTTTTTTTAAAAGTTAGGTACCAATTTTTATGCATTTTTTACACCGAGTCGAATCCCAGAAAGCATGTAACCTTACAGCAACCTTGTGTTGG